CTGCACACTAAGCCCTGCTCAGCTCCAACAAGAGATGTGGTCAAGAAAAAGCTGTGAACAAAGAGGAAGCCCAAAACTCAGGGGCACTTCAAGCTTCCAGAACTTTTTCTACCAGCTCTGCTCTGCTGCCCATTTACAGATTAATTTCCAGCAGACTGAGGAACAGCAAGGGGCTTGGGATCTACTAACCAGGGCAAAAATAAGAGTTTTCTTTCATAGACTCCAGTCCCTTTACAAAGGCTTGACAAAGAAGCCACTAGCACACCACATGTCCAAGACAGAAGGCCCAGCCAAAGGTTATCTTTAAAGTAATTTTTAGTTTCTTCCTCTTTCCTCCTTGTGTATTCCCAAATCTTAAAAGAAAAAGGCAAGCCTCAAGATCTCTTGTAATGTTGTTCAGGAATCTTCTCTCTTTTCACTAGCCAAAATACAGAGAAGAGAGTTCTGAACACAGGAAAGGATAACTAAAGTGTCCTTGTGACAAATCCAGATTTTAATGCTCACAGTAGTCCCCAAGCAGTTCAATTCTATTTCTTAAAGCTCATTTTAAAACAGGATCACACTGAATTCTGAACCAGAGTAGCAGAGGTCAAAATCTACCCCAGAAACTGAGCTACTGCAGATAAGAGCATATTTTTCCTCCAGGAATCTTTCCCCCATTAAAAGTTAGTGAAAGTCTTTGGAGAGCTCTAAGCACCCACATTGGTTTTAGCTGTTTCTGAAGCTGACAGTGAAGTCCCCCAGCCTTATTCATTTCAGCTAAAATACAGCTCAACATTCTTGTATACTCTGGAAAGTTTCTGCCTGTAGCAAAGAGCCACATACCACACTTTGTCTGTAAACCTTATACTTTATATACCTTAAACCTTAACACTCACTGCCCCATTTCAAATAGAACTCCAGCTTCATTAAGCTTCTTCACCCAGTGGCAGCAAGGTTTTCACTCATAAAGGGCTCTTAGGAAACCCTGTGAGGGGTGTGATTTATAGTCCCACAGTGGTAACTGGCTAACACAGGATGGCTTTTTAGGGCAAAGTGCCAAAGGGGATGAGGAAACCTCCCTTGTGGCAAACAAACTTCTTGAACATGCTCTCTGGGACATATTTTGTTCCCTGTAAATTCAGTCTCACTCTCTCACCCACCCCTCCTCTGTATTTACATTGCAAATGTGACTATCAGCATCATTAAACTTGGTTTTAGAAAACAAGAACATCAATCTCAAAATTGTGTCAACAAAATATGCCCATTTGATTACTTCCCAACCCATCCAAAAAAATTAGGGTATTATTATTGCTATTACTCATGCCCACAGTTTATAAACAGGGAGGTTAATAAAGCCATTGCCTTCCCTGGGAACAAGTCTAGATTGATCTTTTTGCTTTATCACAATCTGCCAGCTGTGGGAGATAATCTACATTAAGAAATACTGTCCCTATGATTAATAGCAGTCTTGCAGGCCACAAACATGCCCATTAGATTTCACATTTCATGTGCTAAATGCATTTCAGGGGAGTAACTTTGGAGGACAGGGAAAGTGTGCCACAACTGTAAAACTTAGTGGATTTAAGAACTAAGCAGACTTCTCAGAACCACCACTGCCTTCTGCTGTTGCATTGAAGCAGTTTAGAGACCAGGCCCAGGTTCTCAGCCTAAGAACAAGCAGCTGGAAGGGTAGTAAATGTAGAGGAACCCCAGATCTTAACCAAACTAACTGTGCATCATCCAGCACCACCTGCTATCACAACCTTGGATCATCAGACAACAGAGAGGAGCAGCCTCAGAGCCCCCCAGGCTCCTTCAGGCCACAACCCTTTTACACACTGTTGGACTTTCAGGCCCAGCAATTTCCCCCTTCAGGAAAGCACAGGCATGATCTGTACTGACACAAAGGTCTGACTCCAGTTCAGGAACCTACAAAGCATCACCTGCAACTACATCACCTGCAGCAAGTTCCAAAACTTCAATTACTCAGGAATAAAAGAGCTGCATTTTAGCAGCTATGAAGTATTCATCACCACACAATATAAGATTTTATAAGCAAAGAGTAGAATTTAGCTTTTAATCAGCCATCATTTTATATATTTGAATGATTTCCTGTTGCCACCCAAGCTTCTGCCAGTTTTTGTGCTCAGATCCAGTGGGCAGAAGGCACCATCACCTTGAACTATGTACCTTTACCTCAGCAGCTCTTCAAAAATCCATCTCTTTTCCAAGGGAGAGTATGTAATAGCTACAACTCTACCAGGAAGAGAAGTTCTGGCATTCAGTTTGAACTCCTGAATCCATCTGCATGATCCAAATGACTGCAAGAATCCAGTACCTGTCTCAAATCCTTTGATAATACTTCATAAAGTACAGTGAAGCTGCAGCATATGTGGGGAAAAAAAAGCTGTGAAAGAAAATTCAGCTTGGATCTCTATCAAGTCAACAGGAGATAGATGCAAAACTAAATCAAGATCACCTGCAAAGATGTGAGCAAATATTTATTACATACACTTGTCTCCACAGCCTCTCTGTGCCATGCCACAAAAGTCAGGACAAAAAGGAATTATGACTATCTGTGACTGCTCATCTGTCTTATCTGCTAGTGATTTGCACAAGAGTCAACACATGCCTGCAGAAGAGATCAAAGTTAGACCATAAAGCATTTCAAATCAGCTGTTACAAGAAGCAGAACCTGCTATTCTATCCCACATACACAGAGGAGTTCATCCACAACACCAACATCCACAAATCCTGTGCTGAAAACAGCTGGGCACATTTCAAATCCAAGTAACTCTGCACATAGAGAAGTGTTTGTGATAGATCCCTGATGTACACAAGTCTTCTTCAAACTTTTTAGCTTGTATAGGGACAGTTCAGATACAAAAACCCAATGCACTTGCCTGTGTTTTGGGGATGACTGCAAAAATAACACATTACCTCAGTGTACAAAGTGTCAGACTAATTTTACACAGCTCAGCATTCTCCAAGAGAAGATGGACAAAGGGACAACAATTCATCTGAAAAAGAAAACTCACAGCACAAACTTGTAGCCACTGAGGTGAGGATGTGCCTTAAACCAAGAGACATTGGATTTCAACAACAAAACCTCCCCACTTGGGAGCAAGAGAGTGTGATCATGATAAATTGCTTCCATGAATGCAGATCATCCTCCTCTTTCATTTCAAGTCTTCAACATTCATTTTCATTACAGTAAATAACTGCACCTACAGGATCATTTTACAATCCAAGCCTTTGCATAAGCCTGTTCCAAGTCTGTGTGCACAGTCCCCAGGAGATTCACCACCAAGACAAAGTCATTCTTTCTCCCAGCTAATGAGAGGGACAGCCACCAGTTCAGGCTCCCTCATGAAATATTTACACAGCTATATTCAGCCATCACTCTAAAATGACAACCCCCTTCAAGAGAGCAGAGGATTTACATTGAAGTCACTGCTGAGGGCCCTTTCTCCATCATCTCCTCTGGTTACAGGAGTGTGAGGCCAGGAATGTAGATTGCAGCCAAGCAGATCCACCAGATCCATCCAGATCAGGATTAGAGGGGCCAGTAATGACAACTGCTTCATTTAAGCTTAACTACACATCATTTAGGAGGAGCCACAAGAATCTGATCTACAGAGACACTTGCATATACAACACAGAGGCCCCTCACCTCTCCAGCAGAGCAACAAGGAAGCTCTGAAGTAGTTCACTGTTTGAATTGTGCATAGATTTCCAAAGTCATAGCCAGCAACGAATTTTTGCTGCCTACATAGAGCAGCACACCACCCTGACCTCAGCTGGGCCTGCTACCAGAGCACTGAGCATGAGAAGTTAACAGTGGCAAGTATTTTATTGCTTTTTATTCATAACCTGAACTGTGATGTGTTGGTTTTCCTAGCTGACACTACTCTTTGATCATGGTGTTGCCATATTTTGTCGGTGAAAACTCAATGCCTGATTTTTTCATAAACCTGCTGGATGACAACACCTCCCTCCCCTGGTCTAAATCATCTCCCAGGCATGTGGCTGCAGAGAACACAGTTCCCTTTCGGTCAGTGACCTCTAGTGGTGAGCACACGGAGGAGAGAAGCACAGCACAGGTAGGGGGAAAAGATTAATCCTTCCACCCTCCAAAGGAAAGCACTGAGGAAATAGTTGAGTTTGAGCAAAGAGCTGTGAGAAGCCCACACTGTAGAGGCACACGAGGTAAGGAAAGCATAACAACAGAGGCAGGTTTGTTGAGAGGGGAGAGATGACAGCTCAAAGGCTCACCAGGAAAGACACCACTATGGAAAGGTCAGCAAGGGGAAAAGAGTCTGCAGATGGCAACACAGCCCATCACAGGTCCCTCCTGGGGCCAACCCTTCCCTTCCCAAATGCTAACTGCTCGGCCAGCAAACCGTGGGGAGCAGTAGCTATTTATATCCTCACCCCTTTTCGTGTGCTGAGCAAATAGGTTTGATGCACCCTGTTTGCAGAAAGAATCACGAGCAGAACCACACAGGAACAGAGTCAGTACCACCCTGAAATGAAGCAGGAGTTTGGGTCAAGCTCTCTGGCTTGCTCTCCAACCCTGGCACCTGATCTCAGGCCAAGCAGCAAGGCACAGAAGGGCTTGCAGCAGCACATTCCTCCCCCAGCAGCAGCTTTGCTCCCAGGGTGGCACAGCAGCACACCACAGGCCTGCCTTTCAGCTGACAGACACACAGGAGATGCAGTAACAGGATTTCTGTTCCAACACTGGACTGTGAATCCTGGTGGCTGAGATGTAAATTCAGATCTGAATGTTAGCTCTGGAAGTAATTCTTCCTCAGACTGAGAGCCAGAGGTCACCAGTGCAGCATTTTCTCAGTGAAAAAGTCACAGTTAGTCAGCAACTACATCCAACACACCCCCAGGCAGGGTCTTTTTTGGGACAGGTTCCCCAATAGCTCATATTTTACTCTCCCTTTAACTATACCCTACAGATTTAAACTCAGCAGGTAATATTCTAGCCAACTGAACTGACTGGTGACAAAGACCTGACAGTTCTCTACTTGCTGTACCTTTGATTTCTTCATGTGACTCATGATAGCACCAAGATCTTCAACATCAACAACAGAATTTGTGCCTCCAGCTTCCTCAGCATCAGCCTCCTCCTCACTGCTTGTTTCAAACAACTCTTCTCCCTGTGTAAGAGATCATTAAAAAAAATAAATTAGGAATGCATCTGAACATTAAACAGAAGACCTTCATGTGTGCTAATCAGCAAAATCAGATCTTACATTCAGTAAAGACTATTGAAAACCAAGTAGTCATCTACCAATAACCTGTATAATGCATATGAGATGAATTTAAACCCAGGCCTTTTATCAGTGTGTATTTTTAAGAGTTCAGTAGCACACTGGCAGCTTAAACCCCTTTAACTCCTCTGAGTGCTCCTGTCTGTCTGCCCAGAGAGAGAGATCCTTTCCAACCCCCAAGAAATGGCTTGCAGGGAGGACTAAAGGGCCATAGCAGCTCCAAACCAGAGGATTTCTTTTCCAAAACCTGCAGTCAGCAAACACTCCAGAAGACACAGCTCACAGAATGGTGGGAGTTGGAAGGGACCTCTGGGGATCATCTAGCCCAACCCCAGTGCTCAAGCAGGTTCACCTAGAGCAGGTGAATGACAACAGGCAGACACATTCAGAGGACACACAGGACTTGCTCAGATAACACTCCCCCAGCTGCCTTTGGAAAAGCCTTGGGATGCAGGCAAAGCATCTAAGCTTCACCAAGTTGAAATGGAAGCATGGTACCTGTTCACAGGGAACCAACTGCTTCATTTGGCCACAGGACAAAGCAGACACTCTGATCAGAACCCAGACTGGCTCCTTGGAGCAATTTGTCACATCTACCTCCCCCTACTCAAGAGGAAGACTATCACACAAATACTATCTAGCCCTGGTTCTTCTTTTTGGATGGCTTATTCTACTTGTTCTCTGTCGTAGAATCTCATTCCTCTCACCCTCTGCTCCAGATCACAGCAGTACCAAGCTCCCACAGCATCCCTTGGGGCTGCAGGAGGAAGGAGAGAAGTCCAATAGTGCCCCAAGGGGCTCTAAAGCAGAAATAAGGTCCCATGGATTCTGGCTCTACCTCAGCATTCTCATATTCTGACGCCCCACATTCGTGATCCGAGCTCTCCTTGCTCTGCCTCCCTGGAGATTTGCACTTCCCTTTCTTGCACTTCCCACTGCAGGGCTTCTTTTCCCCTCTGCAGAGGGCCTGGAGCCGACTGAGGAATTTGGCTTTCCAGGCTTCAAAGTCGGCCTCGATGCTGCCGTGCTTGCTGCGGGCCACGTTGCAGTCCCCCTGGGCACGAGTCAGGACACGCCTGGCACTGAGCATCCACAGCCACCTGTCAACGTTCCTTCCCACCTAGGACAGGATGGAGGTAGGAGGAAATTAAATGAAGGCCAAGTGAAACCAAGCAGGCAACTAAGAAAGCAAGGAGCAAGGCCTGGAAATGGAGCTAGTGAGCTGCACGCATAACCCGGTGACAAGTCATGCCATCTTCCTAACTCAGATGCAGCCAATTACTAGGCTAAGATACTGTCACACTTTACATCATGAAATAAAGCTAAAATCCACACAATACAGCAGAGCACATAAGCTGGAGCAAAGCTCTCCAAGCTAAAAGGCAGCAAGTGAGAGGGTTTACAGCCCTGCATCCTCACGCACCGATAGGAAGCTTGCAAAGCTGGAAAATTAACTCAGTAAGGATTTCCCAAATGGATTATCATACCTCCCAGATTAAGGCAGGGCTTACAGGACTCCCTTCCCACTTCAAAGGGCAGCACAACTCCTTCAAAGTTGCATTACCCATGTCCTAAATCCAGTCCCAAATGAAGCCCACACAACAGCTGCAGTTCCCACAAACCACCAGTATTGTTCAGTTCTGCAGCATTTAAGGACACTTAAGCTTTCAGAGAAGCAGGAATCAGGAGCACAGAAGGAGACTGCACAATCCCAGCATGGAGGGGTTGGAAGGCACTTAGGCTTTCAGAGAAGCAGGAATCAGAAGAAGCACAGAAGGAGATCACACAATCCCAGCATGGAGGGGTTGGAAGGGACCTCTGGACATCATCTCATCCAACCCCCCTGCTCCAGCAGGGTGCCCAGGATCACATCAAGGCAGGTTTGGAATCTCTCCAGGGAAGGAGACTCCACAAACTCTGGACAGCTGCTCCAGGCTCGGCCACTCTCACAGCAAAGAATTTTTTCCTCCTGTTCAGATGGAACCTCCTGGGTTCCAGTTTGTGCCTGTTGCCCCTGGTCCTGCCACCAGGCACCACTGGAAAGAGACTGAGAAGAGACACTTACTGTGTTGTAATGATCAGCATAGAGTGAGTTTCCCAGGCCAAACACAGCAAACCTCAGGCCTTTCAGGTACGTTTTGCCATAACGAAAGTCATTTGCAGCCTCTTCCAGCCACTGGCAGAACCACACTGCACTGTCTGGGGGCTGCCCCTCCGTGTATGTAGCCACCAGGAACACACAGATCTTCCTGCTGGTTGTCTAATAACATAAACAGACCAGAAAAGATCACTGCATTCTTCAGAACACTTTACATCAGAAGAGAGCTAACACATGGGCAGCTGGAAGAAGTCAAAAGACAAAGTTTTTGCTAAGCAGGCTTTGGTGTGGGATGCTGCAGGTGATAATCCCAGCAGTGGTGGGTGACCATCCTCCCTCCCTGCAAAGCCATCTTAAGTTAGCCAAGAGAGATCAAGTTGTCTCCCCTGCTTAAAAGGGAAGCAGCAGTAAAACAGACCTGGACATCTTCCTTCCCCACCCCAAACAACAGCTTCTTGAATAGACTCTTGCAGTAATGTCACTCAAAAAGTGACTGTCTTCTCAACATAAATACACCTCACAAGAAGTTTCTAGCTTACAAGCCTACAAAGGCTGCAGAAGGATCACCACCACCTTATTCTGGTGTTGAACCCCTCCCTGGTGTACCCTACCAGAGAACAGAGGACCTGGTGCAGCCACTCTCACAGAACTTGCACCCAAGTTATAGATGTAGCTTCTACAAAGTCACTGTCAGTCATTCCACATGATCCTTCCCCAGCAATTCTCAAGATGTAGGTACTTTCTGCTGAGGGTTGATGTGCTACACCTCCTCACATAGACAGGAAGCAATTTTTGACACAGAGCTCCAGGGATTTCCAGGATAACAGGAGAGAAATCCGAGAGGAGAACAGCCTTCCCAATCCCAGGAAAATCTCATCTTTGTTATTCAGGTTTATGACATGCCTACCTCCTCTGATAAACAGTCATCTGGATCACAGTCTCCCATGCTAACGACTTCCACGGGCAAATTAAGGGAAATAACTGCTTCAGCCAGAACTTGGGCAAACCTCTGAAAGAAAGAAATGTAGAAAGTTATCAGTTACTTCAACCCAATTATCACCAGGGTCAAACAAGCCCTGTTGTGCCCAGGCAGTCACTTCTCCCAGCACAGAGACAACAATGACACATGAGAACTGGAAACTGGACACTGGACCTAATTCTTCACGTTAAGAAACAAGTATACTGGTTGAAAGAAGAGTTACATGAATTTTAATGACTAAAGATTTAACATTCACACACATAAATTAAACTTCTTTTTGAGAAAGCACCTAAACCAGCACTTGTCTCTCAGAAGAGCTGTCTGCAAATTAGGAGTATATTAGAATAGTGACCTTTAAGCTTCAAAATCAACATCTCTACTGCATGGCCTGCTTAAAGGGAGGAGAAAAATTGGTTTTTATTTAATTTTTACTTATCTTTCACACTAAGCAAAGAATTCCAATGAGTAGTGAGCTTTCTGATGAACTTTGAGTTTTACACAGTGGTGTTTCCAAGGCAAGAGTCTCAACAACACTTCAAAGCAACTTCATGTACATGAAAAAAAAGTAACTTATACCTTTGCTGTGCCAGTCTGAGACCCATAGAAAATCTTCACTCCAGCAACATAGACCTCCTTTGCCTGCAGGGTGGCATGTCCATTTACTAGTTTGCCTCCTGTCCCTTCAGCAGCAGCAGGATTCCCATTGGATTTTTTGCCCTGTGAAACAAGTGTCACATCCAATCCTTTTTCAAAGGGATGTTAAGCTCATTTTCCCAACAGCATTTAGAATTCAAATCCCATGCCCAAACTCTCAGCACTACACAAATGCAGTGAAAGCATTTTAGTTCCTCTCACACCTAGGGAAACACAGGAGTAACTACTCCTCTGAACTAGGCCATGCTACAATACACTCACCTCACCCACCAGGGAGGTAACAGGATCCAGCTGATCCCAAGAACCCCCCAACTCCTGCAGCAGAACTTCACTCACATGCAAAAAGAGGTTTTATATTGCTGAGTAGACCAATCCCAGTCCCATTCTAAAACCAGTTCAACCTTGGCCTTAACACCACTGAAAACATGAATGTGAAAACACTGGGTGCAAGCAGAGGGATTTACTGGAAGGGACAGAGCAGCCCAGGCTGACACAGTAATAAAGTGAGAAGAACTCAGCTGAGAACTGCTGGAACATCACAGCAACCAGGGCATTGAGTTGCCCACAAACATCAGAAATCATCAGATCCAGCCTGTGGATTATAACCCTCAGAGGAACTGAACAACATTCAGGATTTGCAATCACCTAGTGAAGTACCACCCCTTTTTTTAGACCCCAGCGACTACTCATTTCCACACATGGATTTTTGGGTCTTCTCACACAAAAGCACTTCCAAGTTTAGTTACCTTCTTTTTGGCTTTGGAGGTGGTGAACTGAATCACAATCCAAATGCTGACCCCAAAAGCAAGAGCTGAATAGATGTAAAATCTCTGCAGCCATATGGAGACCAGGCAAGTACAGAGGAAGTTCCACATGTCCTCCGAGACATTGAAATCTAGAATAAATCACACATTTAGCAAGAGCAGATTCCTACAGCATGAATTTAGAGTGAACACACAAAAAATCATCCCACAGCACCCAGAGTCTCCTGCCATCAGCTCTTCCCTGCAGAGAACAGCTTTTGGAATACCTGTGCTGTACAAATGGCTGAAAGTATAAAACCCTTGTGAAAAACCCACTGGCCTCAGTTTTACACAGACCCAACACATGCAGATTTCTAGAGCTAAAAAGCTCCATTTCAAAGGGGAAAAAAATCACCTCCACAGAGCTTGCTGCTGAACACAACCCCTGCCTGCATGCATTACACACCACACTGATTACAACAGCTCTGGCCCAGAGCTTCAAGGCCAGACTGAAAGCTGGGTGCAATCAAAAGCACTTTTTCCAAATTCTGTCATGTGCTTGAGCTTCGACTCAGAACAAGTGAGATCTTTCAGGCTGGTTTGGAACATTGAGGGTACATGGTAGCCAGCAGCAATGCCTACGTGGTGCCTGTGATTACCTGCTTCATACAAAACATGCAGGAGCTTAAATAAGGCTTGTTTGTGACACTTGCTGACTGAGAAACACAGACAACACTCCTACAGCTATCTGCAGTCCTCTGGGATCCTGTTCTTGCAGACATCACACAAGAATAAAGAAATTCAGTATCTCCTAAAGGCTGGAAACTTTATCTTACTTTTCCTCTGGGCCATTACTTACAGTACCAGATCAAAGGCTTGAGGGGATGCCCTGACCCCTCCACCAGCAACACTGAAGCTCCCAGAAGAGCTGAGAGCTCCTGCCCTTGTGTCAGCAGCCCCAGGCAAGCAGCAAACCCCTCGAGCGGGGCTCCAGAAGCCTGCAGCAGCCCAGGTACCTTGCTTCACCTCCCCCCTGCAATCACCTCACAGCACCCACCCCACAACTCTTGGCTCAACCCCCTGCCCCTCACCCTGTGCTCACCCCAGTACCTGCCCCTCTGCACCACCCCGAGTACACCCCACTTAATTCCTCCTCCATACTCACCCCCACCTGTGGGACTACTCTACACAAGCCCCTCACACAGATCTCCTGCTCCTCTCTCCCTCAGCGCAATAATCACCTCACACTTATCACCCAGCCCATTCCCCCTTCAGTTATTATCCAGAAAAACCTCATACCGACGTTACCCCCACCTCTACCCCACGGTAATTACCCACAAACACACACCCACATACCCCTCACATAACCATCCCCCCCACACACACACACTCACTCATCAGCCCCCCTCATGGTTTTTACCCACATGCACCCCTCACACCTACTGAATCATAGAATCGTTAAGGTTGAAAAGACCTCTAAGATCAAGTCCAACCATCAACCCAACACTGCCATGACCATTAAACCATGTCCTGAAGTACCACAGCACTGAACCATGTCCCCAGGTGCCACCTCCACCAGGGTTTCTGACCCCTCCAGAGATGGGGACTCCCCCACCTCCCTGGGAAGCCTGCTCCAAGGCCTCACCACTCTGCCAGGAAAGAAATTCTTCCTAACATGCAACTGGAACCAGCACTGACACAGCTACAACCCATTTCCTCTCCTCCTATCACTGGTTACTTGGTAGAAGAGCCCGACCCTCACCTGGCTCCAACCTCCTTCCAGGGAGTTGCCAAGAGCCAGGTCTCCCCTAAGCCTCCTTTCCTCCAGGCCCAAAGCCCACTAGCCCCTCAGCTGCTCCTCACAAGCCCTATGCTCCAGACCCCTCACCAGCCT